TTGCATGCAGTACCTCATCAAATATGCATCACACTCTGTGAGGTAAGTAGGTACTGCTATTATTCCATTTTCATTAGGAAATTGAAGCTTAGAGAGCTTCAGTAATAAATTTCTAACTTTCCTTTATGGTTACACTGTCATTTGAGCCTCAGGAAATGACCACTTTTCCTCCCACTGGTCTTTGGCTGTATATTATCTGCAACATTTACTTAGGAGAGAAAGGGGCTCAAACCAGCCGAAATGTGGCCAGGGAGAGGTCTCATGAGCAGTTAAACTGTGGCATTTCAGGGCTCATCTCTGCTGCCCACAACACAGTGTGACTCCTGGATCTCACCAACACCACCCCTGCCACAATGTTTGCTGATTTCAATATCCACATTGATGAGACTTCCAACACCCTGGCCTGGCAGTTACTTAAATTCCACATCCGCCCTAGCTGGTTTGGCTCAGTCGATGATACAGCGTCGGTCTGCGGACTGAAGGGTCCCAGGTTCAATTCTGGCCAAGGGCACGTGCCCTGGTTGTGGGCTCAATCCCCAGTGGGGGGCATGCAGGAGGCAGCAAATCAATGATTCTCTCTCATCATTGGTGTTTCTATCTCTCCCTCTCCCTCCCTCTCTGAAATCAATAAAAATATATTTTAAAAAATAAATTCCATTTCCTCATAGATCTTACATTCACCCTACCCAATGGTCAATCATATCTAGACTTGTCCTTACCAATAACTGCAGTCTTTCTGTCTTCCTTTCTTCCTTCCTTCCTTCTATAATTCTTTTCTTTTTTAAAAATATATTTTATTGATTTTTTACAGAGAAGGGAGAGGGATAGAGAGTTAGAAACATCAATGAAAGAGAAACATTGATCAGCTGCCTCCTGCACATCCCCAGAATTGAACCTGGGACCCTTCAGTCTGCAGGCGACGCTCTATTCACTGAGCCAAACTGGTTAGGGCTCTATATTTCTTTCTTTCCAAATTAGAACATGACAATCAGCACACAGTCTCTGTCCACCCCTCAATAAGTTCATTATCTGTGGTTTCTGGGAACTCCAGAGGCCTAAGGAGCTGTCCCCAAACGACCCAGACATTTCAGAATGAGGACTCAACAGCCCACCGAAAGTCTCCCCTCATGCCTACTGCTTTAATTTCTGCACCTCCCAGTTTGGCAAGAATTATAGTGCCAAACTCCCCCACTCAAGGTCCTCATGGCCCAAATGCTCATGGACTCCAATCTTGATTAGCACTGAACCCAGAAATAATCCATGGCTTGAAAATTGTCAGGCCCAGCTCCCCGCCACCCCCCAGCCCAGCTTCCACCCCAAGGCCGCTCACCAGCTGGCTGACCACTGGCCTCAGTGTTTCCCAAAAATATGCCTGATTTTCAGAACCCGCTGAGTCCCTGTGCTCCCAGAACAGGTCTTCCCTCTTTCTGTTCACTTCATCTAGTAGACCTGTTGAGTAAAACTTAACTGGATGTTTGTTAAAATGATAAGAAAGACTTTATTCAGAACTATTGCCAATAGGTGTCAAGACTATCATAATAGGGGAGAGAGGTGAAGCTCAACCCCCAAATACAGCAAAGACAGCTGGGGATTTATACCTAACAAGCAGAATGAGGGGCCAGTAAATGGAAAGTTACTGCAAGGAAATACCGTGAATAGGGGGAGTCTAGCTCAAAACACTAAACGGGATTCTTGCTAAAGACAGGCCAGGGGGACCAGATGTCAAATATCAGTTATCACCTGGCCGGTGTGGCTCAGTGATTGAGCATTTACCTATGAACCAGGAGGTGGAGGTTTGATTCCCAGTTGGCTGTGGGCACAATCCCCAGTGGGGGGCCTGCGGGAGGCAGCCCATTGATGATGCTCTCATCATTGATGTTTCTATCTCTCCCTCTCCCTTCCTCTCTGAAACCAATACAAATATAAAATATATTTTTAATTTTAAAAAGAAGATATCAGATATCTCTCTAAATTGTGCTGGGCAGGCCCAGCAAGGATGGGGGGAGGGGGAGCGGTCAAGGTCAAGACCTAGTCCAGAAGAGGGTTCAGAGGAACCTGACTGAAATTTGGTTAAAGAGAGGTCAGTCCTCTACTTCACTGAATTCCCAATCCATTGATCCTGCCCTCTTTCCACTGTCTCCCACTCACTTCCTTTTTTACCCAGCTTAAAGGTCACAATCAGTGAAAAGCACTCCCTTGCCTCTCTCTCACTTAGTTACACCTCCTGGCAAAACCACAGCCCTGGTAAACACAATTTTTCATCTACCCTGATCCTGCCCAAGCAGCTGAATGTAGCTGGTGAAAACACTCAACTATGGCTGCCAGTCTCATTTCAGATTCATGACCATGAAACATAAGTGGGTCCTTAATGCTGCCCAGCACTCAGACAAGATTTCCCTAGTCCATTTACTCTCCCACACTCCCAGATGACTATTAAATCTTCACCTCTCTCCTCAACCAACCAGTGCTTCCCCCGCTGTTCTCACTCTCAGCTCACTGCCTTGTTTCCCAATTGAGAAAACAGAAGCCATCAGATGATACTCTGAGACAGTGGTTCTCAACCTTCCTAATGCCACGACTCTTTAATACAGTTCCTCATGCTGTGGTTACCCCAACCATAAAATTATTTTTGTTGCTATTTCATAACTGTATGTTGCTACTGTTATGAATCGTAATGTAAATATCTGATATGCAGGATGTATTTTCATTGTTACAAATTGAACATAATTAAAGCATAGTGATTAATCACAAAAACAATATGTAATTATATATGTGTTTTCCGATGGTCTTAGGCGACCCCTGTGAAAGGGTCATTCGACCCCCAAAGGAGTCGCAACCCACAGGTTGAGAACCGCTGCTCTAAGAGCTCCTATCTACCCACCACACTTTGCTCTGCCCTCCCTCCAGTTACTAGGAATGAACTCATCATACTCCCAGTTATGGTTCACCAGCCACTAGGTCCCATGTCATCATTTTGTTTTCCCTTTCCATTTAATCATTCCCACTAGTATAAATATGCTTTATTTATCTTGTCTTAAAAGAAAACAAATTTTCTTGAATCTACTACACTCCCCCATCATCACTCTATTTCTTTGTTGTAATTCCTTATAGCAAAACTTCTTATATGAGCTGTCTATACTAGTCATTTCCAATCCCTTCCTCTTTCTTCTTAAACCCACTACACTTAGGCTTTTGCCCCCCAGCAAAAGGGAAACTGCTCATCAAGTCAACAGTGACTTCCAGTTGGCCAGTCCTCATTTTACTAAACTACCAGCAGTATTTGACATACTTGATTACTGCCTTCTCCAACACCTTCTCATGTGGCTCATAGATTTCCTCCTGTTCTCTCTCTCTTTTGCTGGTTCTTCCTCAACTCTCCTCCTTTTTAAAAATAAAATAAGATTAAAAAATATATATATATATATATTTAATATATTTTATTGATTTTTTACAGAGAGGAAGGAAGAGGGATAGAGAGTTAGAAACATCAATGAGAGAGAAACATCGATCAGCTGCCTCCTGCACACCCCCTACTGGGGATGTGCCCG